GGAAACTGGCTTTGAGAGCCACCTGCACACTTTATACATGCAGCAGACCTTGGGAAAATTTTTTTTGTAGAATTAACTTTCCCTGTTTTCTAGCAACAGCTCTCTATTGATTAGCTGACATGAGTTTTCGAGAATTATTACTGCTCAACTCGGTCAAATTGCAAAGCTATCACATCAATTCGATATTTGGCTTGCAAAGTTTCTTTTCATCACAGAACTTCGATGTTACTGTAGCATAATCACGAGGGGCATGCATTTCTGTCAAGTTCGCCAACCTAGTGCATTTTCCCATCTACACATGCACATTGGTTCGCACAAAAATCTGTAAGAAATTGCTATGTTGCCCAAGTCGGCAAAAAAATTCTGAAGTTGAGTTACCGAACTACTAGAAAGTGCTGGGTGCACGAGAAAGAAATTTACCATGCCAAAATCGATGACTGACAAGTGTCGATCACCGTTGATCGATTTGAATAGGCGTGGTAATGAAAGAGTTAACACTATCGCGTTAATACCTGTATTTCAGGAGTTTATTGCTTCAAGCACCTTAAACCAAAAATAATGAAACTCGTTACGCGTGAACTTTCACAGTTTTGCTTTCGTGGCTTTATCGCACTTAGTTTTACCTCTTGCGGTGAAACAGAAAGCACTGAATTTAGCAAATAATTTTTAATTTTAATTGTTTTTTGTTTTAATTGTTTAATTGTTTTTAATTGTTCCAATTAAAGTTGTGGACTACATCTACGGTTCTGCTTAAAAAAAATGCATTGTTTTAGTTGCTAATAAGTTGTACACATTACAGGTGACCAAACCTGCCTTGCGGCCATGTCATTTTTTATTTGCTGAAAATCAGATAAAAGTTCTTCAAAATAATTGCATGCAATATAATATGAAAACAGCAGCTTCTCTACAACAATTGCGCAGCTAGGTTAGCAAGGTTTGTCTTGTGAGCAGCTGCTCGACTAATTCTCGGGAGAGGCTGCACGATGCTGTCGGCACACAAATTACCTGAGTGCCGCTTTGATGAGCTAGGACGATGAGTAGGACGAAGGAATGCATCAAGTGCTGGGGTCATGTTATACAAGATTTTGCAGTAGGCGCCTCCTGCAACACGCTGATGTTTTTTTCCCTGCTGATTGACAACTGGCTAAAACATGCAATTTAGGCCGTAGTAGAAATGAAAGGAGCACTAAATATAGTGACAAATTTCAGCATTCTTCTCGCGTTGAAACTAGGATTTCTATTTTTTTAAATAATGCTTAAAATTATCAGAACCGTCGTGTTGCACAGCCTAGTGGAAGAGCCTCTGAGCTGGCTTATGGAATATGTAGTTGATCACTTTGCTGAACGTGGTCTGAGGCTGTCATGCGTGCCAGTCCTCTAAATTCAACTATGTGTATTATCATCCAGCCACGCTGAATTCTGTGCTGCTTACGACGTAAAAGGAGTAGCACGGTGAAAAGCGGCGTTGCCGCCGGGACCACCGGTGGACTAAGTCGAGCCATGTGCGTCAAGTGCTCAGTAAATTACAACACTCAAACACGATTCACCCGTACTATGACTATTTGCAGCATACGACTTTATATCCCAGAACTCTGATTACAAATGTTTTGCAGCGTTTTACACTTTATTATTCTGCAATCAAACTCACTGACTTTGAAAACTTCTTTGCACTAAAAAAAATAAGCGCTGTAAAAAGTGGTTGTTGGTCCCTTTAAGCCTGAAGACGTGAAATACCGTATTTACTCACATAATGAACGCACTCTCATTGTAAATGCACCCCCTACATTCGTCCCTGCAGTCCCGCTAACAGACACATGGCACCTTCTTGCCTGTTAGGTCTGTTCCGTTTTTGTTATTACGCCGACCCATCTCAGCTCGCTCCTTCCTCCCCCACTTCGCCCACTGCCTCTATCTGCACGCGGCACGTCCCCTTCACAAACGACGCGAGTGCAGAGACATCACAGCTGATATGCACGCAGCGAGCAAAGGTCGCGAAACTGCCCGCGCTAACCAACGGTCGCTTCTTGCAAATACGAAATATGAAGGCCCATCCACATGCTCTTGATTTTCGAGCGACGTAGACAAGGTTTGTTGTCGTCATGGCTGTCGCGAAGGGCCATTCGTCGCCATCGGGTCGCAGGTTTCTAGAAAACCAGAAAAATTTCTTGTCACCCAGAAAAGATTGTGGTGATTTCTGTGTTATGGTTGCACCACCGGTTATCGCTTCGGTTGCAATTTGTTTTTATGCTTGTTATTTGTGCATACTTCAAGGACCGCAAGATATAGTTGTCGCGGTCGTCGGGCGAGGTTGCCACGAAGTTTGCAGAGTGCATCGTAACACGCACTTTTGGGTGCCCCTCGAAATTCCAGCAGATATTAATTACTGTTGCAGTTAAAAGATTGCGAGAAAAGAAAGCCAGGAGATGCTTTATGGAGTGCGCAGGCGGCATTGGGACAGCTTGCAGAAGATAGTGCGTTCAACCACCAAAGATGAATGAAGTGCAACTATATCTCTTCACTAAAAGTGCAACAAAGAAGCTGTTGCCAAACAGCGTACGTGAATGTAAATTGTGAAAGGCTAAGCGACCTACCTTTTTTTTTTGCACCACTCCATTTTTGCTTATCCCGAAAAAGTTTTCGTAATATTTGCACCGCATAATAAACGCATCTCCAGCTGTGCTTAGACTTTTCAAAGGAAAAAGTGTGTTATTACGCGAGTAAATACGATATAGAGGCAAACATGCGGCTCACATTAAACATTATATCCGCGGACGCACAAGAATACACCTTTATAATATAGCGCCACTTAATCAAAGCAAAGAACTTGGGCATAATGCTGTTAATGCCTGGTCGGCACCACTGTACGAAAAGAAAAGGGACTGCAGTTTGAGTAGCTTGACAATTGTGAGTATGAAGGGCGTCTTTCTTTAGATGTCACAGGCTTGCATTTGTGTCTCGTGTTGCTGGTAGTGTGAATTCATTTGCTTTGAGGCCGTCAGAAGAGAAGCAACCCATGAGCTCAAGGAGCTCGCGGCAAGATTTTGGGCATGGTATAATATGGTCTTTGTTGACAGTAACAGCCTCACATTTCCCAGTGATGCATTGCTTATCTGATTCATCCTCTGAGTGCAATTTTCACGTGCAAGAGGAGCTCGTCCGCTGACAAGACAGCATTCAAGTAACACCAGTGTTTGCCGCATCGAACGGCCGCCATTGAAGATTTATCAAGCAGCTGCTTGAGAGAGAAAGGTTGCCATAACATAACCTGGCTGTGCATTTGTTGATGAGAAGTTGCTGCTTTGTTATTATATTACGTACAATCATTCCAAACAACTTTTATCTCACATTTAGCATCTTGGAAAGAACAGCACGACCGCAAGACATTAAAACTTTTCAGCGACCAAAATAATGCAACATACTTTGAAGTAGAGTTGTAAATAAGGTCTTCGACATTAATCGGGGGGACAAAAAAATATTAAAAATGGCTTTTTGAGAACTTTCAGAAGTCAGTGTCTTTGGTACATCATTTACATTTCATCACAATCATTTCATTGTAATAATACTATGAAGTGATTGAACAAGAAAGCGATAGTGTAAAAGTTCATCAGTGCCGATTTTTATTATCCAAAGTTTAATCGAAAGTTTAATGTATTTGTGGCAATAAATTCTTGGAAACAAACATCTCGTGTGTTTTGTTATGTTTGCGATTTTTTTTGTTATGTTTCCCAAGAGGAAAGCAAGAATAATAGACTTTGAATATTTTCTATTCTTTGTGGGAAATTATTACAGTGATTCAGAAGTGCGCCATTCTTTACTTAGGTGCAGGTAAAGTTCAGAAATCACAAACTTGGCAGAAAAGCATTTTTTGCAGCCAAAATATCTAGTATATATATTTTTTTCACAAATGTAACTTGAAACGATTGTACTGGCCCTCGTGCATTGGCCCACAAATAAATTCCATCAGAATTGGGAATGGTGACTTCGTATTTTGATCTTGCACACCCTGCACCCTCTCACAGGACCCAGTGCTGCCTCAAACTAACAAAAAGCTTTCAAGCGCTATGAGCATTTGTTTAAACATTCATAGTCCTTGTCTATATGACCGTGTTGCAAAAAAAACTGCTGAGAGGGGCCATACTTTTCTTTGATATAAATGTGATGATGTGGCGCTGTCTGTTCCATTAGCAATCTGTGTTGAAGGGTGCCCCTTGGGAAAGCCCCTGTTTCTCATTAGTCCAGGCGCAATCAAAGTTCGCGTGTACCGATTGGACATTCTCCTACACATAACAAAATGAATCGGGGAACATGATGAAGTAAATATAAAATATTGTCTGCTTTGTTTTCATTCTACTGCTCTCAAAGGAATTAAAAATGGGCGATACCTCAGGCCAATCAGTTACAGCAAACAGGTTTGCTTGAAGCTCAATATGTTCGGGCATTTCTGGTTGGCGAAATGTAGTTAAAATGTAATTAAAATGTATCTTCTGGCCAGCAACTTGACTTGACACTACTACAAACAGCAGGCAAATAAGCCTTATTGATGTGATCACTCCAATTGCATACTTGAATGTTGTAATAAAGGTGCAAAGCATATGTTTGAACGAAAGAAGTGAATTTAGAGCGCACATTTTTTTTTTTTTTAACACAATGTTAATGAAGACCAGAAGGACAGTACAGGGGGCATTAATAGAACTGTTTTAACGGTGTTGTAGTAATTGTGAAATATATAAATGCAAAGAAAGTAAAGTGAACGAAAAGACAACCAGCAGGCACCAAGCCTGCAACATTCGGGGACATTGTACTCGTGTAATGTGTTGGCCTGCACAAGCTGTCAATTCTCAGAAGTCTGTTTGTTTGCTGTTGAAGGCATGACACTCGCACAAATTTTCCACGCCAATATCTGCTAGTGCACTTAGAGTGAATAGGGAATACAACTAGCGCACCTTTAGATGGGGCTTCAATTGCATTGGAACTAGCGCCGTGTTTGTGCACGTCCTCAGCAGAGGCAGCAGGAGCCGATCAAGCACGCCGCTGCAGCGTTCTCTGGAAGAAGAGGAGGACAACACCGAGAACCTGAACCCAGATGAGCTGTACAGCTCACTGCTGCGCCGCACCACGGCCCAGATCCACCGGCTGGCATTGGACCCAGTCCGGGGTACGGACTTGACGGACTCCACCCTGACGCCCACCTCCCGAGGCGCGGAGCTGCTGCTGCCCCCGTTGGGAGGAGGCAGCTTCCGGCAGCGGCTGGCACCCCAGAACTGGGAGGAGTCGTGCACCTTCACGCAGCAGCGGCTGACCGGCAGCCGGGAGGCCTCGCCCGTGAAGCGCATGGCCAGCTGGGATTATGTGAGTGTCGAGCCTCTGTGCACATGCATCGTCGCAGAAGCCGACAGGCTTAGCTTGTTCTTCTCTCAGTGGTTAAATGAAAGCCTTTAGCCAGAGCACGTGTGCGCCAGTATGAAGAGAAAGGCAGACGGCGTGCTACTGCTTGTCTGCGAGTACTCCGACACGTTGGTCATTGCTGTGGCATGCTTTCTCTAGTATTTGCTGTTATCATTCTACAAGCCTTACAAAACTACATTCAACCGTGTTATCTTTTTTCAAGTTTCTATATTTCCTAAGCTCGGAATTTGTGGGTGTGTTATGCCATGTGATTAAATTAAATATTGCCAGATCAGTACTATTGCTAAAGTTTTTGTTGATAGTAAATGTTTAAGTGCCTCTGTTACGTGCTGAGCAAGGTATTTCACGCAGCATGTGGTTCACACCAAATGTTTTCATTGCGGCATTATTATTTACAACTAGTTGCTGCTGGCATCAATAAAATGTGTTGACCCATTATGTAATTCTCTTATTTTCACAGGATGGTGAAACCGGTATGCATCGGATCCGGCGAACGTCACTCGATGGTGGTGTTGCAAAAAGTGGTATGACCATGTAAATTTTCCTTTCAACGCTTGTGCTTGGTTGCTTAGTTATGTGAGCTCTTTTTTTTATATATCACTGACTATTATGTTAGTGTTAGAATTACCAAATATAAGAATGAATTATCTTTTTTTTCCTTTCAGAACAAGACACCCTAAATAACATTTTTGCCATCCTGCAAAACCCAAACAGCAGGTAAGTTTTGTTGACTTTAAACGAATTGTGTACTAGTTTAAAATTCACATAGCAGTGCTGGTTACCATATTTCGTAAATTTAGGCTTGTGTGAATACAGTATTTGCATTTGCAACGATTCGACTTTAAATATGTCAGCATGTAACCCACCCTGTAAAAATGGTTTCACTGGAGTAGAAGGGTGTTGAGCAGTGAAAATGCCTACTCTGGGGAAATTTGCACTGTCACTGCGTTCCACTTGTGACGATCGTTTATTATCCTTACACTACTCATCATTTAAGTTTAAACACTTGTTATACCGGCCTGCATGCTCAGAGTATACTAAACTTTAAAATGCACCATAGAGTTGATCCCGGATGTATCGAACTCTTAACATGATTGCGAATTAGCTGGATATATCGATAACTTGAAATGCGAAATATGCATATTTCAGGCCTAAATTGAAGCATTTAAAGGCTTGTAAATCATTAAATGTGCTTACGAAATGATTAGCTCACATTATAACGAAGAACAAGACATGAACTGCAAGTTACCGTGCTTAATTTCACATGAACATAGTCCGCAAACTTGTCTTGTTTTTTTGCGCGCCATCAAGTTCCAGTCATTTTAATATCATTGAAGCTTTTCAAATCGGCGATTTGGCTCCTTCGGTCACAACAGCATTGAATCGCACAGAACGTCGATGCAAGCTTTGTAGCGCGGCAAAAGGTTGGTTAGCGGCAGCAGCGAAGGTGTTGGCATATTCATAACTAGAGACCGGATTATAATAGGCAAATGCCTATTTTGCTTCTTGCATTTCCGATGGAGCCGGAAATGTTGTAGGCCCGCGTGCTCAGATTTGGGTGCACGTTAAAGAACCCCAGGTGGTCGAAATTTCCGGAGCCCTCCACTACGGCGTCTCTCATAATCATATGGTGGTTTTGGGACGTTAAACCTCACATATCAATCAATCGTACCATTTTGATATATGAGCATGAGTTAGAGGTTCAGAAGGGCTATTGTGGTGTTTTATAGTGCCTATAAATGCCTAGTTTGGGTGTTCGTGCCTAAATCACTATAAGTGCATATAAATGCCTATTTTCCAAATGAGCGCATATATGAGTGCTATTCAAGTCAAAATTTTGTTTCCGAGCGTGGTGTGAAACCGTTACTCATGTAAAAAAGGCAGCATTGATACTTCCAAACACTATAAGGTTTAACGAAGGCAAAGCTGACATGCTGCGAAATGGAGGAGAAGCATGAGGAGTGCAAAAGACGCTATTTCTGCAGATCTGAGTGGAAGAATGTCTTAGCGTCTGCAGGGGAAGGAGGAGAGAGAATTAAAGATGGAGTAAGAAAATGAAAGTGACGTCTATGGCCGAAGACGTGGCGACCACTTTCTACAAATAGCTGTCCATTGCCCTGAAGGAGCTGAAGACGCCCCCTGAAAACGTGGGTGTTGCAGTGGGAAAGGAAAAACAGGTTTTTCTGGACACCTGCGGGTAGCTGGAGAACAAATGAAAAACAATGGAGGACCATTCATGTAATGCTCTTGTTGATTCAGTTGTGGCGAAAATTGCCAAATCGTTATACTTTATACAGGGAAGTCTGAGAGAGGCGCCGGCATGTTTGCAATTAACGATGTATTTAGCATACATTCACCGATGCTTGAATATGCTTGTTCTATAGAGATCATTTGTCATATGTCTTCAAGTGACAAACATTAAAAAATACAGAAGAGAGCTTCAAGGTTAGTCCTAAGCCATTCCTCAAGAATGACAGCTGTAACAATACAAAAATTGAACTAGGACGGGAAATACTATCATTGCATCAAATTAAACTGTGGTTAAAGCTCCTATGTCAAGCATTTCATGCTAAACTCGCATTCGAAACTGAATGTGCCTAAACAGTCCTCTTCGCACAATGGTAATTAAGATTTAAGAATGCCGTATAAGATATAATTTTTCTAACAATTCTTTCTTCTTAGTTTCATGACAGAAAGAAATGGCTTATAAAGAGAAGAAAGTGTGTTTGTCAATGAAGGCGTGTTTCCTTTGACATTGTAACGCATCTGCTGTAGCGCCTTCAGGTAAAAAAATGTGATGCGCGTGTCGCCTGTGTTTTGATTGTAATTTACTTTAAGCGTTTTTCTCCAGGTGACATAGTAAGTTGTAGTTAGACACTATAAATTCTTGCATGCCCAAAGAAAAGCATTCTACCATGGTGATTTTTCAAATTGGTTCGCTACGAGCCACAACAGCATGATGCGAAGAAGCAAACTTGAATCTCTTGCCTCTCGTCCCACGTAGTCATTGTGAGCCTTATCCCTTCCCTGTTTTCTTCAGTATCGGGGCTGGAGAATCTCATGACAAATAGGCACCAAGAACAACATGCATAAGCAAGGTCACGCGCGCATGATGTGCCCTAGTCCACTTGTGCACGCATGTCATCGATGTTGTGTCGTTTCGGCATTCTCTGTTGTGTATTACCATTTTCTGTGGGATGAATCAGTGAGTGCGTGTACTTTAGAAAAGCTGGCAAGGAACATGTATTGTGACCACGATACACCACGTCACTTCGCTGAAACTGCGGTCAGAGACGATGCACCAAACACAAGCTAAGCCTTGTCAGGGTTGGCGAAGGCACTAGGCGGGAAGGACGAAAAGATGATTGCAAGCGAAATGGGGTAGTAGCAGTAGTAGTAGTAGTATATAGTAGTAGTAGCAGTGTTAGTATGAGTGGTTTTACGTAAAAAACCACAATATGAATATGAACGATGTCTCCGCAAATTTTGACCATCTGGTGTTCTTTGACGGGCACTGGACATCGCCCAGTACACGAGCATCTACTTTTTCGCATCCATCCAGATGTGACCGCCGCGTCCCTAAATCGAACCCGCGGCATTCGGGTCAGTAGCAGAGCACCCTATAGCGACTGGTCCATTGAGGCGGATGCGAAACGAGGGATGATTAGTGAATAGCATCTAAAGGTTATTCAAAACAAGAACAAATATAATAATAAGCTTTCATTCATTACACTGATTTCGAAAGGCACAGTGACACAGTGATAAGAAAGACATAGAGACAAAGAGCACTGTCTTTCTTTTCCTTTTGCCTTTGCACTTATCTCTCAAAATTATATGAAGCAGCTAGCCCTAACCAAAGTACTCCTGATTCATGCTACACAATAGAACACAAAAATTGTGCATGTCAAGTAGAGTAATGTCACAAGCTACGCTCTTAATGAGTCAGCATTTAAAAAGTATGATATATTCAAGAGACGAGACATTTCCGTGTGTTTTCTAGATATAGCTAGCATTTAATGAAGTTCTGATGAAGAGCGTACGGTATGCCACGTCAGCCCACCGATGTAAACGTGAAGGAGCGACGTAAAAACAGGACCATTCCTTGGTGTATATGTCACTCCCTAGATCTTGGGGCGCACGTCTGTGAGAAGGGCCAGTGGCATTCATTAGAAATTGAGCGTTTTTTTGCAACTTGTAATCTAGCAAATCTTAACAGGAATGACCCGGAGTGCCCAGTGCACTGTTACACTTGTCACCTTGAAATGCTCAAACCTAGTGAGGGGCCCTATAAGGTGTTCACCGATGGGGAGAAATTGGTCCTACATGATTAGACTTAGCATTCTTCTCTTCTGGGGTATCAGGGGCCTGGTTATTTGCTCCTGCGCTGTCCTTCCCAGCCAAAATGAAATGGAAGAGACCCAGGAGAGTTTTAATGGAATGGTGGACACTTGACGCACAATGCCTGACAATAAAACGAAAGACCACGCACTGCTAATAGCGTGGGAAATGCATGCCCATGTTCAATCGTTGGTACCTTTGTGCTATCTTAAACAATAGAATTTTTTTTTTTGCTTCTTGCCGTAGATACAAGTCACCGAAGTTGTTTTGGGATATTTCAATGTTTGTAGAAATTTATTGTGCCTGTAATTATGATTTTGAGGGCCTAAAATGGTGTTTTACCTGCCTGTCTTTGGCACCTAAAACGCACTTTTTTAGTGCCTAAAAATTCGGCCTCTATTCATAACCGCACGGGTATACTTATGCGGCAACAACAGCTACGATCTCTGCATTGATGCAGTCAGAAATAGCTATGTTGTACTGTGCACCGAGGAAGTCGCCCACTGTTCGAGATGGTTGCTGGAAACGCTTATAAGTCGCAGAATTCACCAAGGCACCATACGCTGTTGTCGGCGATTATGACGCACTCAAAGTCGTCACCTGGGCCACAAGGAAAGTTCTCGACGCTGCTTTACTTGACTTTACTCCAAGCACCAGTCATAATTTAAATCGCAACGTGCAGGTCAACGTTCTCTTAAACTCCCAAATGGGGATTTATCAGGAAAGAGGCAACAAGTGCACAAGCTGCAAAAGACAACGCCAAGCCATGACACTGAGTTCCCACCGTAGACATGTTAGCGATATCGATGTCACTTGTGGCTTTATAGCTGGCAGCCACTGCTTTCAGCTGCTTTGATGCGAAAAGCTAGAAAAAGCGTTGGCTCCAAGGCATGAGGCCGAAAGCACTGAAGATACGTCACCAGGTTACACATTTTTAACGCCATGCTTTTCAGGTACGCATGCCATTGTGCGCTAACAAAGAAGGAAGGGAGTGCACACATTGCAACGAGATCACAGAGTCCCTTCGCATTCTCATTTCGGTGTCCTCCGCAATCGGTCTTTTTGAAAAACACTATGCCTATGCGTTAAGACTTGCAGATCGTGCATCAAACATGCACTCGCAAGCGCTGTGCAACGAACCAGATCAGCGCGACGGAGTAACACCTCCTTTTTGTCACCTGTGCGCGAAAACGGATAGGAATGTGTTATAATGTGGCAGAAAATTGATCAATTTTGGCTAGGAAAAATGCACTTTCCGGGCTTTGGCGCGGCGCAGCATTTTATACAGTGGATGTCCCGCTGTGCGTGAGTTGTATATACCGGTGTAGCGGTCATATACTTTTGCATGAGAAATTCAAGGAGATTTTTCAACTGTTCGA